TTTTTTTTTTTTGGATTCACAAGGACGAATAGGTAAGTTTTTAAGTTGATAAAGCTAGAAGGATGAAATTCGAGGTTGTTATCGGGTTTATATAAGTCCTTAACACATAATTTTTTCAAAAACAAATACTGCGAAATTTCAAGGATAAAATTTTAAAAGGAAATTTTTAATACTTATGCATTATGCACCGAAAAATTGAATCTTTAATGTGATACCCATACTGTTTCTCTAAGCACATTACACTGAATTTTTTAAATCATTTTTGAATTACTGACGTCGCACAGGGGGGCAAAAAAGGTTGCTGTGTATAAATCAATTTTGACAGCCCAACTATGAACCGATTACAAGTTTTTTTTTTTTTTTTTAAATAAGAGACAATTAAATTTCGCGTCGAACCATTCCTGGTGATTTTTCAAAAAAAGCTCTGGTTTTTTATTTATTTTCAAAGCGGTTTTTTCTAATCGGAAAATTCGGGAACATCTATACCGATATTTTTGAAATTTTGGACATCGACTCTAGACCTTCAAATGATGAGAATAGAAGAAGAATAATTTCGATATATCAATGGGCGTGGCACCTCCCACACAAACTAAAGTTTTCACACAACATATCTCTGGAAGTATTCATCGAAGAGTGCTGCAACTTAGTATAGCGATATATAATATCAACGCCAAACTCATGGAAAAAATGGGAGTTATTGAAAGATGGGGCGTGGCACTTCCCATACAAACTGAATTTCTCACATTGTATGTGGTGTGGTGTGGTTGCTTCTGTACCGCATTCTGCAACTCATTTTCTTCAGATTATTATGTTTTTATTAAGTTATTTTTATTATAGGACTAAAACTCTGAAACACAAATTTTCAAAAAACCGTACATTTTATTTATAGTACAATGAAACTTCGATATAACGAACCTTTATAAAACGAAATTTTTGCTGGAACCCTGAAAAAACCTCCTTGTTGCGAGATTTTGCCAACAAAAAGCTCCACAGACGCAACAAAAAAATTTTGAGCATGCAAACGAAGTGTCGAATCAATAGCCAGCCTCTACATAGCAAAGTGTGAATATTTTTGTGGTTATGTATCTACTTTAGCGCGTTGAATTTTGTGGCCAGTATGCAGCTCTCGCGAAAAGCAAAAACTCCATATAAAATGACGTAGAAGAAATGGCTTAGAAAATTTCTTGTGTAAAATTTTCTTGAGGCAGTACGCTGTTCTTAAGAAATTTGCTACGCTTTCTACTACAGTTATCTAAAGTTGTTTTGTGAAAAAAGAGCACAAGGCAACCCATGCTTGCAACAGATATATACATATATATGCCCGTTCCATTATTTCTTGAGGAAAGAGTGTGGCAAGAGGCTGGTGAATTATCAGATGTCAAAATTCCTTGGTATAATGGCAACTTTTTCTTGACCATTTTCTTGAGAGCTGCTTACTGGCCCTTAAGCGATTCATTGCAGTAATTAATTTTCGCTTGCAACTTCGTGTATACGAACACACCACGTTACCCGGAGGGTACTTCGCAGTAGGTGTCGCTCAGATCTGCTTATAACACTTTTTTCTAAATTTTGCAAATTTCGTTATATCGAGGTTTTGATATTCTATAAATATAACGAAACTGTAAATATAACGTAGCATTTGTCCAAACCCTTCATCTCCGTTATATCGAAATTTTTTGGACGTATGTATATGACACATTTTGTTCTGCAGGAATTCATACATGAATCCTTTTGTATTAAATAGAAGTATATACTTGACTGATATTACTTAATTATTGGATTTAAAATTTGTAAAATTGTCTTTCTTCCCAGTCACTTTCGTCTTCGGAGGAATGTGTAAAGGCAACAATATCTTCAGGGCTTATCAGATCCATTGGACGGAGCTGCAAATAAAATTATTGTTGGTAAAGAAGTATTCACAAATGGAGTATACACAGTTAATTAAAAGATAACTTTCATAAATCATTGAGCTGAAAGGAGAGTAAAAAACACATACATAGCTTAATTCACAAAGGCCTAACCAACACTTTTTCGGAAACTGTGTTTTTCACAGATTCAATAAAAATTTTAAAGTACTAGTACCAAAAACAACGAAGCTACATGCTACTTTTTAAAACGCCCTTCCAGTTTTTTATATTTTTTTTATGTTTCGAGATTCTTTGAACACGCTAATCTCGGAAACTACTGAACGAATTCGGTCCAGTTTTTCTCTTTTATAATTTGTAACGATGGGAGAGTGACCTTTGGTACTTACAATTTTAATAGGGTTGCCACCCATCTAAAAAATGTTAAGATCTGTTCGTGGAATTACAAAAAGTGAAATTTAAATTGAAAGGGATTGACCTCTAGATGTTCAATATTGTATTATTTTTGAGTAGGGTTGCCACCTTTATAAAAGTTATAAGATCTTCACCGTTCATTGCACTTAAAAAAATAGGTACCAAGTGAGAGGAAACGGTCTCTGGATGTGCAATAAACTTTTATTTTTTAGTAGGGTTGTCACCTATTTAAAAACTACTACCTTACTTATAATACGTCAAGGCGTTTCTTGTTAATTACATTCGATTTGTACAAATAGATTCTTTAAATTAAATGTTGTATATTGTTAACAAAATTAAGTCACATAATTTTTAATCATCTTCATAATTCAACGAGCGGCAAAGATCTCATAATTTTTAAAAAGGTGGCAACCCTCTTCGAAAAATTAAACCTTATTGCACATCTGAAGGCCAAGCCCTTTTCTTTCAAACCTATTTTTTTTTTTAATCGAATGAACTGTGCAAATCTGATGTAATTAACAAATAATGCCTTCACGTATTATACATATGTCCATACATATGTATGTAGGGTGTTAATTTTTATATAAGTGGCAACCCCACTAAAATTAAACAAAAGCTTATTGCACATCCGGAGACCATATCTTTTCACTTGGTACGTAATTTTTTAGTCCAACGAACGGTGAAGATCTTATAATTTTTAAAAAGGTGGCAACCCTACTTAAAAGATAAAACATTATTGAACATCTACCGGCCAAAGCCTTTCATTTGACATCTCACTTCAGCGAAATGGTGCGAATCTTATAATATTTTATAAAGATGGCAACCCTATAGAAATGTTAAATACCAAAAGGTCACTCTCTTATCGCTAAGAATATATTAGAGAAAATATTGTCCAAATCCGTTCCGTAGTTTTCAAGATTTCAAAGAATCTCGACTTTCCTTTATAGATTATAATATGTATACATAAGTACATACATAGATATAGATATCTTTCTTAGTTTTTTATTTAAATACAATTTCGCGATGGAATAAGTGTGCCGCCAGATTTGCGCATAGATATGTGCGTTAAAAGAAACACAGTTACATACTATCAACTTACATTTAGCAAATATTTTGAATCAATTTTAAAATTTTTGTATAGTGCGATTTTTTGCAGTGTCAAGACCGAATGCAAACGCTGTTTTGGATCCACCTCTAGCAAGCGTTTGAGTACATCCTTGGCCTCATGTGGTAGTTCTTCGATTTCGAGTGGCAAGAAGCTATGCGTTAGAACAGCACGATGTTGCTCTTCCTCAAACAAACAATGTCTGGATATATCTTCATCCTTTGAAGGTTTTGTTGAAGGTGCTGTAGCTTGGTCAACACTATCTCCTTTTCTAATATATGCTGCAGGCAAAGCAATGTCCAGAAATGTGCGAATATCGGGAGTCTTTTGAAAATAAAGAGCAAAAAATTAATTGTACTTAAATTTATTACTGAATGATAAAATAAAATCAACAATAAATTTACAAATTAGTGAGGCGTAGTCATGTATTCGTACGAATCGAATATTTGAAATTTTTGCATAGAAAATGCTAGGAAAATTTCGTGATTTTCGATTCGTACAAAAACTGGAATATGCCCCCAGTGTGATACACCCTTTCCGAAAAAAAAAGAATTATCGAAAACGGTTCACGTGGTCCAAAGTTATGCGGTAATACACCTTAAAAAAAATATATATATATATTCTGTCGAATTGATAACCGCTTTTTTTGAAGTCGTTTAAAAATAATAATGAAAGTAGTAAACAGTAGATGAAAAGGAAATTATTTGATCACAAAAGGTGAGTAGGCACTGTGGCCAATGGTAAAGTTCATTTACCACCTCTGCATGGTTGTAAGCCTGCAGAGTTCGCAAAATGCCCCGAAAGCAGTGTCCAGAGGATGCATCAAACTAGGCCGAGCATCCTTTGAAGTGCCACGAGTTTATCACCCCTATTCTGCAACACTTTCGTATTCGGATTTTACTACGAATCGTATAAATAGTATGCTGCAATCCGAATCGTATTTTTGAACTTTCGAAACTCGTAACAATGACATGCCTAAAAACGAACGAGTAAGAAATTGACAGCTTTTTTGCGTAATTTTGTACGGAAACAATTCTGTGTCGAAAGCGAGATAAAAGATGTAAATTGATGTGTGTTTGCAGGAAATATTAGTCGGTGTTCTTTTAAATTTGCCTTTCGCATATGGGCAAGTCTAAAAAGCTGCTAACCGTTGTGTTATTTATGTAGCTTTATTTTCATTGTTGTAAACTATATTAAGCTTTTGCTTTTGGATATAATTCATAGACGTATATTTGTAGACTCAAAAAAGTTTTGAATCAATCTTAATTGAAGGCACATTTGGAAAATACGTCGAAACGATCTAAATCTTTTTATAATTACTAGTACTTATAACGTTACATATGTATACATGTAAAATGCTTCAAAAAATTTTCTCTAGAAGTGTGTAAAAGCCCCGATTTACTACTTTTAATGATGCTGTTTTTCGACAAAGGTTCTGATAGTCGGTCCAACATAATTGGAGCCTTCTAAATTCAATGGCGTCCCCAGTTTTCCCCGATTGGCTTCACTTTTCGAAATAGCGGTACATGAAAAATTGCTTAAATTCACTATCTCTTAAAAGGATCGAACTCGGTTTACTATAACATCTAGCTCCCATACAACTGATATAGGTTCATTTTAATATATAGCACGCATACAATTTATAATTTAGATATGAAGTTAGAGTTATAGCTCAAAAACACATATCTGAGTAGAGTCCGACCGATTAATCGGCATCGGCAAGTATCGGCCAAAATAATCGGCATCGGCATCGGCATCGCCGTTTTTGGCCGGTTCTTAGCCGATTCTTTTACTTTTTCCACAATTTTAAGAAACGTTCATCAAAATTGGAAACTGTTTAATCAGATTTTTTAGAATTTTTTTGAGTACGCAGCTCTTTAAATTTTAGTACAATAAAGTGCAAATTTGAAATAGCTACATAAATATATATACATATAGCTACATATATAGCTACATAAGATTAAATGTTTTGAATACATGCAGCTGTGCATCCTTCACTCAATTTTATATCCTTCGAACAATAAGTGCAATTCAAGACTTTTAATTTGAGCCAAGGTAGAAGCCTCTAGGCCGTCTGAGAGCTAAGTTATAACAATTTTAAGCCAAACTTCGAAACTGCTGCACAAGTTTTTACTCCGAAATTAGAAAAAAAAAATTGCGTAAAATGTCGAATGAAATTTCGAAGTTTAACTTCAGAATCGTTATAATTTAGCTCTCAAAGCGCCTAGAGACTTCTACCTAGACTTAAATTAAAGGTCTTGAATAGCACTAAAACAGGCTTGATGTTCGCGGGATATAAAATTGTGTGAAGGACTTTCAAAGCCATATTTGGGCGTACAAAATTTTTGATTCTTATTTCCGACCAAATTTGGTCGTAAAAGGCCAATAGTGGCAACACTGATTGAGAACCAGTTCTTCAGGCATAGGAGGAGTTATGGCTTTTGGTTCAACAATTCAACCAGAAGCTGACATATGTAGATGCGTCCATGGTTACTATGCCCGACAACCGACGCAAATCTTTGTGGATTCATTTCCATAGCACGATCTTACTTCGCTGCTATAATTGCAAATGCAATAGAATCCATCGTTTTATTCTAAATATGTATGTAATAAAAAAAATTACTATAAATAAGCACTTGATGAGTGTTTTTTTAATTCCTTTCCACTTTTTTTCCTTCATACAACTGTCTTCGAAAAACCACTGATAGGTGGCAATGCAAGGGTTGCAGCACGATTTTCGTAACGTAGCTACGAATTACGAATAACGAAAAATCGGGTTCTAGAATAAGGGAGTACAACTTAAGAAAGTTTTATTAAGTGGCAGTTGAGAAGTGCATATGCAAAAATTTCATAAATTTATATAGCATGCATTTAGGCGCCCGATGTTAGCAGTCGCACCAAAACAGTAGATATGTAATTTTATTGTGCTTTAGGTAAATTTGTTGAGAGCAAACACTTGTTTAAGCATCTACGTACATATGTATGTAGCTGTGTTCGTAATTAGTATTTTCTTCGTTCACACATACATATGCCCTGAAAAAATTATTGGATCTTTTTGGGAAATTCTTGAGTTTGACAGACTTCAAAAGGGATTGCTCTTGCCACGTATAAGAGATACTTAAGACAACTGCCGGTTAAATTACTCACGATCTAAATAAAGTGGTACTAGCAGCCGTACAAAAACCAAACATAATTATTTCTCCTCAACTAAGCTCAGAGTTTAATGGAGTAAATCGTTTGGAATTAAAAAAAAACTAATATTTTTCTATGGGAAAACTCTTTTCATCTGCAGGATTCCCAATAATAATACCCAATTGTTTATTTAACCATTTTTTCATCGCAACTATAATTTGTAGGTCCGCCAAAAACCCACAAAAACCTCGAAAAATGCAATGGGTGGACAAATAAAAAATCGTTAGTATTAAAAAATGGTTAAATAAATACTTGGGTATTATTATTGTAAGTCTCCTGAAGAGAACCAGAGTTTTCCGATCGAAAAATATTGATTTTCAAGAATTCTATACCATTTCTACGAAAAGTTGTTTTTCCCCATATAAAAATACATGGAAAACTTTGAGCGCTTTGAGCGACCTCTAAATATTTTTTGATTTTAAAATTAAAAAAATAGGGGTACACTTTTTTCTATATAGAACAATCCTAGGAGGTGAGAGCATTACAATTCCGACTTTACTGTTTTGGACCACCCTAATGTACATGCAGTCATATCAAGAGCACCTCATTTCAAAGCGATATTGTTTTCCACTTATGGTAATTTATTTATTTTTAAGAATTTTCATTAAAATAAAGTTCATTCAAACTTTGTATACAACTAAAAATGTTCATCCAAATGTCAAAATTATTTTCTCAGAATTTTTTGAGTACATCGATTTAAAGCCCTTTCAATTTTATTGCAATAATCTGCAAGTTTCAAGTGGCTAAAAGTTTCTGTTGTTGCGGTTTTCTTCCATATAAAAATAAATTGTGTTTATTCGTTATATGGTAGCGAATGCGACAAAAAGAATCAAAGGTTTTAAGGCTCTTGAAACTTGCACATTATCACACTAAAATTGAATCGGCTATAAAGCTTCATATTCAAAAAAAATTGTAACACTTCTGAGTAAACAAAATTTGAAATTTTAATGAAAATTAGTTGATTTTTTTTTTAGATTTCTACAAAATTTTAAGCGTGGGTTTACATGGTTTTTTTTTAAATGAACTTTATTTTAATTGAAATTGAACATACTGTAAACAAAATTTCAATGGTTAACCATAAAACAATATGAATTGCATAAAGCTTAAAGGGGAAAAATGCCTTAAAAAAAAAGAAAAGTGGATGATCGCCGGCAAATGATCACTAAACGCTATATGCCGTCTGAATTTCATGAGTTTCATAATAGAATTATAGAAATATAAAATAAGCACTTGAATATAAATTATGCTTTTATGATTTAGTTTAAACCCTAAATGTGCTACTCTTCCACGCGAATAGTGAAATGTGCTACTCTTCGTAGGGACCGACGATATGTACTCTTCTTCCAGTCTGACATAGTTTTCTCAATGCGATAAAGACAAGTACAGGGCGGATTTACTATTAAAGTTGCTCCGCACTTGAAAAAGCTATAAATGCATACATATGTAGCTATTCTGAGTTTTACTAGGTTAGAAAAGATACGCAAATAGAAACATTAAAATAGTAATAAAGACGCAGACAATAAATAAAGAAAACAATAAAGGTGTGCGAAATTACGCGTCGCAAATGTGAATCATTCAAATAGTAAAAGTCACGCTTCGTTATAAATAATTTAAAACCCTAGCTCGCTGTGTTTGCACATACGTGTGTGGATGTGTGAATGTAGGCAAGTATGTATGTATGCAATTATGAGGAAAGGCGAGCGAAGACAGGTTAATGGTCAAGCTGAGGCTGCTGCCTAGGTATTGTATATAGACTTATGTAGGTACTATTTATGTATATAGCCGATACACAAAAGACTACACGTGTAGCAGAAACTTAAAAGTGTACACAAACAACATACATACACACCTACGTACATACCTCTATACCCACCATGCAGAACATGAGAAATAGGAAACAATCGCCAATGTTGAGAAATCGGCAACATCGTTTCTTTCACGTCATTTTAGGAATATCTAAAAAAAAATGACAAATTGCCAATTGTGCGCCAACAGCATTCTACAAAAATCTAATTTTGTGTTCAAAAATAAATGAAATATGTATTAAAAATAATAAAATTTTTCCGAGTAATTATTGCTCAAATATCGCCTGTAACAATAATAAAGCCATAAGAAATCGACTCATTCAGGTAATAAGAAAACGATTC